GTTGAAGTTGCTTGACCACTTAACAAATCTTGTTATCATTTTAATAAGCATCATTAAACCATCAAAAGACATTGTGACATGATGTAAATTACATGTGACCCAAAGTAACCAAAGTGACGGAATTGAAAAGCATTAACTCAGAACTTTATCATTTTACCACTTTTAGCTGCTGTCCAAAGGAAACTCACTTCCAGTTTAGTTTAACAGCTAGTAATTATCACCAATTAAAGGCCAAAATTATTCATTGACCAATTAAAGGCCAAAATTATTCATTGACCATACAGCATGGTCATCATTTTTGTTGCCATTTCCTAAATGACAATATCAATCCGTCAATTTTCAGCAGTTGGCAGATTACATTTTTTTGGTTCATTATTTAACACCTTCAAAAGTCCTGAACACCCAAACATAACCTCTCCAAGTGATCATTTGACATTCTATCTGCACAGTCCACACTGAATGAATTATGTTACAAAATTTATATACCTGTACAAGTAATGATCATAAAATGTCAAAATGTCATTTGATATTCCTTAAATATCAAACTTTTTACAGTGTAATATAAACTAATAGTCCAGATTATAATTATCTAAAGTGAATATAAATATTTCTTTTTTATTTCCTTTAAATTGTCTCTAATCACAATTAACACAACATACTGTTCAGACACAAGTTAATTCATCAAGTATTCAGGTAATAGCTTTTTTTCTAATATACAATAGCATAATATTGAAAGTATATTTGTACTTAAATAACTAATTTAAAGTATTTTTTTACACACAGTTTTAAAGTAACCTTGTAATATAATCTGCAATAAGAAATGGGCCACAAATTATACAAAATTCCTTATCATAACACTAAAAAGTGTATTGGCCTATTTTCAATTAGTTTATCATAATTTCAAAAATTTTCCTTTGTGAAATCACTACATATTTACATATATCAGATCTGGCCAGCAAGCTTCAAAGGTAAGCCAATTTGCTATACTCTTGTTTCTCCTAGGAAACCCTTGAATATGTTTCAATATTGTAGTGTTACACTATAGTTTCTTAATATCCCTAATCCTTTGGGCTTTCATTCATTTCATTTTTTAATATTTACCTGTTATTTGAATTTAAGATTTTAGCACTTTTCATAGCAGATGAACCCCTGTTTGTTGCTAAACTTCAGAAAAGGTTCAACCATGTACAAAACTGACTTTAAATTTTCATAATGATACAGTTGAGGTACAGTCAAAACTGTGGCAATGACCACATTCAGCTAATACTGTGATAATGTATTCAGCAGTCCTTATACAAACTGACCATCCCCATAGGGCTTATAGCCATCAGTAGAGGGGGAAGACAATGTCCATCATGCAAAATAGCACAATACCTCAATGCCTAGAATGATTAGTTGGACTTAAACATCCTTTAATTAGTTGGACCAATGGAGGTTTGATAATAAAATAAGTCAGAGTCCTAGCTGATACCCAGGGTGAAAGATGGGTTCAATTGACATGTGCAAATATACCACAGTCATGTGACATGAATTTACAAAACTTTTAAATATCATAAATTATGATCTTTAAAATAAAAGTCATGTTATTAAGAACAAACAAAATAATGTGTAAAATTTTCAGAGAACTTCAGGTTCACATGCTTATAATTATAATTAAAATAGAATAAAAACACACTTACAACAATTTCTAAATGGTCAAACATACTGGATCAAATCCTACCCCACACAGCATTTGTTTTCATCATTTTACTCCATCACAAAATGTAAAATTTCAGGTAAAATGTAAATTTGAATTAATTCAATGACTAGCCCTTCAAATCTCAATAATTACCAACAGGTGTGAGGCAGATATAGCACATGTTGAATCTTATAATTGCTTTATTGGCATCACAGAATATAATGCTCCTTTGACTTTTTTTTCAAACATGAATGTTTTCGAAGAACAAGAAAAAAAATAAAAGGATGCAGCAAAAAAATATGTTGATCAACTAAACAATTGAGTTATTTTTTTCAAAAACAACTTTCCTTTATCTCTAAAGATTTCTTTACAAAAGCAGAATCCATTGGAAAAAATGCATTTGTAATTAACTTTACATTTAAATCTTTCATTCAAAAATTCATCAGTAAAACAAAGGTCACATAATAGAGCAATTATATTTCATATTGACCAATCACATTTTTAACATTTTTATATGGAGCAATCATGTTTTTATTTGGAGCAATCATGTTTTTATATGGAGCAATCATGTTTTTATATGATAGAGCAATCATGTTTTTATATGGAGCAATCATGTTTTTATTTGGAACAGTCACGTTTCTATATGGAGCAATCACAATTTTGTGGCACTATGGAGTCCTGTCTGAGCATTAGCACCAATCTCACCTCCCCCTATGTAGATTTGGGGTAGATATGATTAGTAAAAGCCCTGGCCATTGATCAATAACTCATTTAGGGTGAGACTTTTACAAATGACACTTTTCTACAATAAGTGATTTAAAAAAAAAATCAACAAAAAGTATGGTAAAATATTGTCAGTTTTCAGTAACTTGTTTGAAGTTTCAAAGTAATCCGGTAAAATGCCCAAGGGAAACTTGTGCCTCAAGAAGTAATTCAAATAATATTTTAAAAGCTTTCCCCATAAATCATGGATACTCCCAACAACACTTGGCAAAGAGCATGCAGCTTTCAATCAACTTTATTAAACCCATTTGGGATATGAGGTTTTGTGAACTGAGCTAAAATCAGTTACAATAGCCCTTTTGAAGATAGGTTGTTTCATCTGTATTAACTTCATCTGTATTAACTTTTAAAAGAACAATGCTTGTATCAAATTATTTCAGTCACATATACTCTTTAAAAATCTGGCTGAACAAGTTTCCTGCTTTTGAATGATTTCAGATGAATTTGGACAATTTAAAAAAAATCATGGCAAGACAAAATATTATGTATTCTGATTCTTTTTTCTTTAAATACAGGTATATTGTAAATGTATAATTACCCTATACAGCATGAATCATGAATACATAAAACACCATAATTCATTAAAGATAAAAGTTGATTAAAGATATTTCTGAGAATTTAAAAAGGCACAATTTCTTCCCTGTCCTTGAAAATTTCAGAGTCATTAAAGGACAAATTTCAATTGTTTTGCCATTAATTAGAACAAGATGCAATTTAACTTCCATTTTTGGGGGCCATAAAATCTAGACAAAACCATTCATCATTTTCAGGGAAAAATTCAAAATTAGAGATTAAATAGCAAATAGTGGAGACCATGATCAGACGGCACAATTGTGCCAGCTGATCCTGATCTGCATTGGTGGCATCTTACTGAGCATGGGTAGATTCAGTTGCCACAAGTACTGAGGCTATGGGTTAAAGTCCCACATTTTCTTCAGCTAATAAAGAACACATATTCTGTCATCTTAGTGCAATAACTAATAAACTCCTATTAAAATTAAGACTTTTTCTGTTACTGAACTAAGGTGACAATTAAAGGCCAGCGTGAAAATGACTTTCTAACCTAATCCAGATACGACTTCAAATGAACACCACTCTAAAATTTTCTAATTGTATCTTAAGCCTCTAAGGAAATAAGACAGATCTGCAGGAAACAGAAACAAATCATATTAAATGTCAATATGTATTAAACAAACCTACAGTGAATGAGTGACAGGAAAACTACATTTTGAAGCAAAAATAGTGACCCTACCATACACCAGATATCAAAATTGATACGGAACACATCCTTCACAATGTATACTATTATAGACAAATATGTCTTTATTTCTCCACGGAGAGCCAACATCTGACAGGCCACGGAATTAACCTAAGAAAGCAACAATTCTCTATGGAATAAATTCAACCGAAACTGAAAAATATTATATATTAAACACCAAAGGCTAATACTAGTTCTATAATATGTTTCTTATATTTGAATGTATACCAAGAAAACAATATGATCTGCTGGGATCTTTACTCTATTACTCTTTCCTATTCTTAAGAAACAGCAAAAGAAGCCACATTATTTACTAATATTTAGATCATATCATAATGATGACTTCATGGCTACTATCATGAAGGAAGACGATTTGTTGCACATAAAACCCTGAAGGCTTCAAATTATTTCTGGTACTAAAAGGGGATTGTCAGCAATAATTCTGGCACAAAAGGCCATGTCCTTTTGAAGGTGACTAGCCAATATTTACTTTATAAGGAGCCAATTGGGTTCTTCCCCTCTATATATGATGGTGACCCATACTATGCTAAATTGTTTAAATGAATTGCCCATCTTTCAGTCTATATAAAAAAAACTTACATTTTCTTTTCTAGAAAATTAAAAACTATAAACTGCATGACTGAAAAGCTAAATGGCACGATCTTGGTCAGCACTGGTCACATGGGTAGAATCAGTTGCCACTAGCAGACTAAGGGTTTGTGAATGTTCTACTTACTGGGCACCAATATAATAACTAATAGACTATGTCTACATGTACACAAAATGTAAACCAATCTGTTCAATTATAACTTTCTCTTTAATATTATATACTTAATCAAGGCTTCTGTAGGGCAAAAACATTAGTTTTACGACTGTACAAAAGCTTCATACATGATTGTCCAGACAAGTAAATTGAACAATAGGTTTATTTCCCTGCAAGGAATTTAGTGCTTCCTTATTTACTTAATACTGGTATAAAAATACCAGGAGGGAAAAAGAAAGGAACATACTGTATAGCTTTAACTGCTGTTATTGTCAAGACAAGGGACAACTTCAATAATTATGACCTTCGTGGGAATGGTAGAAGTTACATTTTTATTGCCCAAACATTTTCATTGCTCAAAAATTTTGAAATTGTATATTTCTCTGTATTTTCTGACATAACTAGGGACAACTTCAAGGCATGGAAAAGTTAGAAAGTACATTTTTATTCTAAAGTTGCTTTCCTGTAATTAAAACACTGCTCAAAATTTAAAATTCTATATTTCTTTATACTTTCAGACATGCACCAGCTGACAAAATATACACAAGCATTGACTAACGGCCTACGGGCTATGTCATCTGAGGACAAAAGGTACTTCTAATCATCTTTAGACTTGTATATGGTATCTGGGTTTCCTAGACGAATAGACAAAGTTAAAAACATGCTTCCCAAAATGCACCAGCAGAGAAAAACCTGCAGTACAAAACTTCAGAACAAAAGAACAGTAACAGTTACAGAAGTACCAAATTTCAAATATGAATTCAATGTGCCAAATGCCAGCATTGGATCCTGATTCAGGACCCAAAGTGAAGGAAGGAGGTAACATGAAGAACATACTAGTAGTTACTAGTAGTAAACAAGTTCAATGCATATTAGATAAACCAGGTGATCAACATTTGAGGTTAAGAGGTTAGTAAATGCCCTTTGACTTTTCTGTCATAAATTTGTCTTACTTACTGATAATAAGTTGATATTGTCAACAACACTGGTGTCACTGACACATAATAACTAGTGAGTTCAAGCAGTAGATTTCAACTATTTATATATTTATCTACTTGCTTGTTTTATACTCATTCATTCACTAATTTGTTCAAAACTGACAGCTTAAAAATAACCCTTAATAATAACATTGGACTACAGCAGGACTAGTCTTTTTGATCATTCTTTCCAAATCCTTTAACAAATTATACTTTTTCTTCCTTTTTTTCATTTTTTTTTCCATTCACTCTTTCTTTCTTTGCACTACAATAATGCAGCCCTGCATTGCACACCATGACATGCCACACCAAACATTCAGTGTTAAGATGCAAAACTCAATCTTACTTAAATGTAACTAAATGTTATAACAATGTAAACAAGAGAACCATGATTGCCCTAGGTCACTCACCTCAAGAAAATCACTAAAAAAGGTCAAAATAAGGTGAGCTATTTTAAAACTCCAGCTGCATCATAAATTTATGAAATATTTTAAAGGTCTACTATGAAATGCTACTTGCCAAAAATCTAAGTTCTGTGCATTGTGTGTTTTCCTGTATAATTAAGTCTAAATAAACTAAGTTACACCCCACTCCCCTGTTTGGGATCAGTTTTGACCCATTGGGAAGGATTTGTTTAAAATTTATAGAGGACCATAAGCTGATGCTTGATGCCAGGGAAACCCCCAGGGTGATAATATTTTAGACTATAAGGCATGATTTACACAATCTGACTAAAGTTCAGATCTACTTATTTCTTGTAGATCTGATGACGACCTTCGCCTTCTTTATTATTCAAATTTCCTGTCAGAAAGCTATTTTTAGCCATGCAATCAAACCGTTTTTTACAGATAGGCATTATTAGAAGTATCAAAATACTGTTATCTGTGGAAATTAAACAAACTGTTGATTTTTATTAGAAAAAAAATGTTTGAAGTAATTTTTAACAAATTAACTTTAAATAATAGTCCATTTTTAATGGGCAAGGTTGTTTTGCCAAATTACCAATCTGATAAATGGACGCCATGTTTGTTCTCGAAATCGTGAAAATTACCTACTCATGCAGTATTGGTTTTCCCAGAGTTAAAATTAGAAACCGCATCTCTTTCAAAATTATGAAAGCTCACCGAAGATTGGCTGTGTGAAAGGTCACCAGAAATGACTTTGTATTTGGTCACGGTCAGATCTATAAATAGAGCCGATTTTAATCAGTTTTGATTAACTAGTATACAACTTTTGTAGATGCCTTAAGGTGATGTTATGTAAACTATCTAAGCTAAAAGTATTGCAGTTTCTGAGAAGAAGATTTTTAATAATGTCATTTTTTTAAGGCATTTTTTAACTCTTGTAACCTACCTATCCATCAGAGTGGAACTGTTTATGTACCTTTAGTAGAGAGCCACCAAAGGATCATTCCTGTGAAATTCTGGCCATATCCACTTTGTGGTTTTTAAGGAGATGTTCTTTAAAGAAACTTTGGATAAGGAAAGACACATCATGCAATCATAAAAGCTCCCCTCTGATTACTGTGTGCACAGGTGAGCTAAAACTGCTTACAAGTTACAGCTAGAGGGAAAATTTATTCTTATAAAAAATAATTTGTCATACAATACCTATATGGTAATTATTTATTCATATGACAAAAATGAATTAATGATAAATGAAAGGATATACCATAATGTCATATGTAAATTAATTCAAACATCAAGACATTTATTACAGTAGAAAAATGGCTGCTTTGTAATAGTTGCTTGAAATCATTAGTATTCAAGTTTCTCCGTTTATCATTTGAATGCTTGAAGCCATAATGTATTGTCTTAAAATTAAGGCACTATAGTGTAGAACCAGGCCAGCCTGAACCCTCCATGCAGTCCAGTCCAAGAGGCTCTAATACTAATGGCTGCATAAATATCATAACCCCTAATATTTCCACTGGACCAGTACCTGTACCAGTCCTGTAAGAAGTAGAATCTTCCAGTCAGTTTTTTTGCAGGTAAAGGCAGAAAAAATATATAATATTTTAAGGGGGGAATGCTGCCTATCTTAAGCACCAAAATTCATGAATCATGGGCCCTGACAAAAGACAGTTTCATATTCATTAACAGTACTAGTCCATTAAATATGTAGAAAGTCAACAATGTTAAGATTAAGCAAATGTTCTTCTTTCAGATTCTATGCATACATTCAGTTCAGACCATGATCAGCAGTCACATCCCTGCCATTAGATCATGGTCGCCACTGTGAGTATTCAGTTAATAAATATTTTCAAATTTTACCTAAAATGATAAATGGTTTTATCCAAATTAAAAGATGGACAAGTCCATTTAAGCATGGTAAGGTTTAAAATTTACAATTTTTCATATAAAAACATTTTTGTTTAATTATAATGTAAAATCAAAATTCAAATAGAATAATTTTAAAATCATTTCATCACAAGGGGAACTTTTGTGTTACTCAACTTAAGCCAGCATAACAAAACTTCAAATACTTGTATTTTCAACAACCTGCAAAAAGCCTTGGGCAAAAAGTACATTTACGTGAAGTTAAAGAGTCTCAGGCATATTGTACCTTGTGACAGCTTCATTAAAATTCATGTCTACAAAATGTAACATCGCATGACGGAAATAGCAAAGACTAAATATTTCCTGTTCTTTGTTAGTTAATACTATTTTTTATAAATGAAACTTGAGGAGAGTGATACTTTCATGATGGTTTTAAAAATATATGTTTAAATAAAACATGAATTAATTACTATATTGTAAATTATACAGGTCAGTGTAGAATCAAATTTCAAAGGGAAGTAACTTGCCAGAACAAATCTGATACTTTTCTTCCACATGCTAGTAAAGAGTAGTTTCCCTTGAAAACATTCAAAAATAACTCCAGATGGACTGAAAATATTTAACAACATTTTAAACAATTCTGCATTCTAATAGTAATGACAAGCCAAAGGAAAAATAGCCAACTGGAGTCGAAATGACATTATGTGCATTATTATATCATTTTTAATTGTACAATGTGCAATAATGAACAATTTACCATGACATAACAAATTGTTTATTTCAATCTAAAGACACATAGAGTATTATAATATATTAGTTTACCAAGCCCCTGTACCATGCAACTGACAGAATCAATTAAGTTAAGGTATATGACAGCATCAATTACATGTACACTGTAAGTCACCAATCAGTTGGTCATTTATAATGATTATGGCCGTTTATTACGCTAATGTCATAAACATAAACCTATCTGACCATAAATAACAAATAAATCATATAACCAGACTTCTGACAGCTACCACGACTTGTCCCTAACACAATAAATTTCTATGGGATGTTACTGTCCTCAGAAATACAAACTGACTTCAATACCAGAAAAAAAGCACAATAGTTTGATACTGATCACTATAAATCTTGTTTTATCTTGTAACAATATCAACTGTAACCATTTCATCTTGCAACAAGATCACAAGTTAAGCCATTTCATGATCTTGCAACAAGTTCACATTAAGCCATTTCATCTATCAACAAGATCAACCGTAACCATTTCATCTTGCAACAAGATCACAAGTTAAGCCATTTCATTTTGAAACAAGATCACAAGTTAAGCCATTTCATCTTGTTACAAGATTAACCATAACCATTTCAACTTGCTGTTAGGTGTACTATTGCTGAAAGTGCAGTTACAGCTGTAAATCAAAAGATCTCTCAAAGACTTAAGGCAATTTCTGATACTAATTTACAATAATGAGTAATAATGACTTATATGAAATGCATCAGCCAGTGTATTGCCACCTAGAGTCCATGCATCATAATCCATATATTAAACTTCAGACTTGAGTCAGTATCCCATACATTATAAGAGTTTATATATAACATATTACTTCAATATATCATTGTTAGAACATGTATCATATCACTATCAATGGCTGTAGTACAATCTGTCATATTGTATATTATAGTGCTATAATTCATAGATCCTTATAAAACTCAATAAGGATTGTTTGACTAACCATAAAGTTAATTCTAGTGGCTGGAGGAAATTCATCAAGCATGGTGTGGCATAGTTCTGTCCTTGAATTTGGAGCTGATCATTGTTAGTTTGTAGCTGTACATTGTTAGTTCAAAGCTGTTCTTTGTTAGTTTGTAGCTGTACATTGTTAGTTCAGAGCTGTTCATTGTTAGTTCAAAGCTGTTCTTTGTTAGTTTGTAGCTGTACATTGTTAGTTCAGAGCTGTTCATTGTTAGTTCAGAGCTGTTCATTGTTAGTTTGTAGCTGTACATTGTAAGTTAAGAGCTGTTCATTGTTAGTTAAAAGCTGTTCATTGAAAGTCCACAGCTGTTCATTGTTAGTCCAGAGTTGTTCATTGTTAGTCCAGAGTTGTTCTAGTTCAGAGCTGTCAAGTTCAGAGCTGATCATTGTTATTTCAGAGCTGTTCATTGTGAGTTAAGAGCTTGTTAATAAGTTTCGAGCTGTTCATTGTAAGTTAATAACTGTTCATTGCAAGTTCAGAGTGGTTCATTGTTAGTCCAGAGTTGTTCATTTTTATGCCCCCACAATGTGGGAGCATATAGCGTTGCACTTGTCCGTCCGTCCGTCCATCTGTCAGTCCGTCCGTCAGTCC